AAATTGTAACATGTACTCTATCATTATTTGAACTATCTTAGTTGCACTCCCTTATCTCAGATACAACACCCTTGTAAAGTTTATGTTTGGCTCTATTCATGCAATTTAGAAACCCATGCGCTTTTACTATACATGTTTTAACTTCCTCCTTAGAGTTTTGGTACACACATTCATTCTACCAATGCTAAGAAAATCTAATAGATAACACTAAAGAAATCACACCATCTGCTCCCCTTGTCTCCACCTACATATTTGATGTAGCTATCTAAACATTCTCATAAGTTCCCTTGATTAAAAGTGCTCCAATGATCTAGTGGCACCACCTCTTGCTAGATGCCTCTTATCAGATGACAATCCCTTAAAACGTGTAAAATGTCTTCTTTCATACCTTCACAAATGTCACATTCTCTGGTTAGGTGAAGGCCTCGATGAAACTTTGCCTCATTTGTCATCAATCGACCATGGTTCATTAGCCATAAGAAAGATCTACAATGTTGGGGAGCTTGGAGTTTCCAAATTCATGACTAAATAAAACATCACTCTCTAACCTCTCTAGTTATAAACTTATAAGCTAATTTTACAAAAAAAGAACTAGCTTTTTTTATTTCCACCTAACAAGTTGTTGACCTTATCTATTAATAATCTCTGTACCCCTTTCAATAGAGTCCCACATAGTTTTCAGACCGCTCCGCAATCTAGAACCTCCTCTCTTCTTATCAATTTTAGGAATCAAATCATCCCCACATCTATATTTTCCTTTCATGACCTTGGCCCACAATACATCTTTGTCGTTCATAAGTTGCCACTCAACCTTTATGAGAAAAGCTTGATTTTGAAATTTTGAGTGTCCTAAACTTAAGCCACCAACTCTCTTATCAGTATAAATATGCTCCTATGTAACCTCATGGACTCTTTTGATTTGTAGTAGAGCCCTAAAGGAAACCACGAGATCTTTTGTCAATTTCATCACAGCAAACCACTGGCATCAATGTTGTCTACATAATAGAAGAAGGAGTAGATGATATAACATATTTCAAAAGATTTGTCCTTCTGGCAAAAGATAGAAAATTAACTCTCCAACTATCAAGCCTAGCCTAAACTTTATCAACCACATATTAGTAAGTATTTTATGTGTATATCCACACATTCATCTCAACATTCTCATCTTTACTACTCCAACTTTATACTCTTGTTATCCCGTCAAAGCCCAACATTTACTACCATATAAAACTGCTAGTCTTATAGCAGTTCAATAAAACTTTTCTTTAAACTTATCAAGTACCTTACAATCATAGATAACTCTTTAGCCTTTCTCCAATTAAACCACCTCACTTGTATCCCATGTGCAATATCTCTATCAGTTTTCCCATTTTGTTAAATAATCGCTTCTAAATATCTAAACTCTTCTACTTGAAAAATGGTCTGATTACCCAATTTCACTTCCAAGTTACTACTCACTAACTCCTTATCAAAATTACAATATAAATATTTCATTTTACTCTAACGTAGGGGAAAACCTTTTGACTTCAATGTCTTCCTCCATAACTCAAGTTTATAATTTATCTCTTCTCTTGTCTTTGCAATAAAAACTATATCATCCACAAAAAGCATGCATTTAGGAATTTCCTCTTGAATATGCTTAGTCAAAACATCTAAGACTAGATCAAACAAATAAGGACTAAAAGATTATCCTTGATGTAGTCCAATCTTTATAAACAAATCTTTTGTCTCACCACCAAGTGTTCTTATACTTGTTGTTGTCCCCTCATACATGTCTTATATAGCTCGAATATAGGCAACTCGAACACTATTCTTTTTCAATGCCTTCCAAAGCACTTCTCTCGTACACGGTCATAAGCTTTTTTAAAATCAATGAAAACTATATGTAAATCTTTACATTTACATCGATACTTTTTCATTAATCTCCTTGGTAGATAAATCGTCTTTATAGTTGCCCTCCCTGGCATGAAGTCGAACTGATTCTTAGAAATACTAGTTTTCAATCTCAACCTATGCTTAATCACTCTTTTTCATAATTTCATAACATAACTCATAAGTTTAATCCCTCTATAGTTGGCACAATTATGAATATCTCCTTTATTTTTATAAATAGGAATGATCTTTGAAGACATTCTGAACACTCAGGATGATCTTTCTTTGAAAGAAGAATAATGAAAGTCTTGTTGACATCTTTTACCAATTGTGAATCATTGAAGACATTATGAACAAACTAAATGACCAAAGGACCAACAGTTCTCCATTGAGATTGGAAGAATAAAGCATTAAAACCATCAGACCTAGGGAAATAGCTCCTTTTGTAAGACCATCTTGGTGGATAAACACAAGATGGCCTATATTCCTCCATCTTAAACTAAAGGGAGGGTGTTAATGTGATTAAATTAATTTGGCTATGTTTGTCCTATTCCATGTAATTTCCTATTCTATTTATTAGCTTGAACATGACACAATTAATGTTCACGAGGGCCATTAGCGTTTTCAACTTCCTTTGTATAAAAATATACATTGTGATGTATTAAATGGGGAGGATACGACAAAGTTTTTCCTTAAAACATCCTGTAACTTTCCTAATTCTTTGTACATTTATCCTTGAGCTTTCTATCTCAAGACTCGAGCTTTGTTTTCAAATGTTAAGATTAATAGTTTATCATTTAATAGTTTTGGTTTATTTTGGCTATAGTTCCAGCACCAGGAGCTAGATCTCTCAATTTATTTTATTAACACACTGAAATATGATCTTAATAAAATTTTAACTGCCATAGAAAGATTGCAATTAAGGAGAAAAAAATAACTGAATCAGTTAATTTAAATGTTTGTAGAAGAGAGAATCTATATGGATTGATGAAAATAATCATGTAGCTTGGGAATGCGGAGATATGTAAATCTTAGACCATGTTTCTTTTTTTTTCCTCCCTTCTTAAAACCTGAAGTTGGCAATTTATTCCTACCAATAATACCATCACATTATGATTTCACTACGATACAAGAGAAACCTTTTTTGGTATGCATAAAGAGTAAGCTCAGCCAACAATAGAGAATATCTCCCCCAAAGCACTGAAAACAATTGATAGATTTATTCTAAATAAATTGTTAAATATAAATTATTATATATACAAGGGTTGAGGTTTGAACTTCTAATTACTTCACTTACACCGACTTTAATTGGTAGTTACCTAGAAAATGTTAATCATTTTTAACTTTTTGAATCAATAAAACTTAGATGAAAAATATATGGCAAAGAGAAATGATAGTATAACAAATTGATTATAAGGTCATGCCTCAACGAAACCTAACATTTGAGCCACACAAAGTTTATAGCTTATGACGAATAAAAGGACTTTTTATAAATTTTATAAAATATATATTTTGGTGCATATATTTTACAAAACATAATGATATATTGAAGATGTGGCAAATTAATGTTTTGGGCAATTCCTTGTTGACCCAAAAAAAAAATGTTTTAGGCAACTTATTTGACATAAACAATTGTTTTCCCTAAATTTTTTAATTATTAGATAGATTAATTAAAACTTAAAAGTACTTAATCATACTCATATTCATGTACAAGTGTGAATTTGAATATACAACTATCTGATTAAATATCCTATATTACAAGCTAATCTAGATTAAAACATATCCGAAACTAAATAGACAGTTATAATTCGTTTAATTAAACTTGCTTATTTATGTTAGAGGAAGTTAACAATTTGATATAATGAACTTTTTTTTTTATTAGTTAATAGCTTTCTGCTAGGGGACGTTACCTTAATGACTGAAAGTGAAAGATTAAGATCTGAATATTAATGTTGACGAAAGATAGAAGTTCTTCATTTAGTTATAAACATACGATACTAACGACTTGATCACTGAAAGATTTAGATTTGAATCTTGTTTAATTTATTTATGTTAGAGGAAAATTGACAATTTGATTTATATGATGTATTTTTTAGTTCAAGAATATAGGCAATTAGTTATGTATTTATTTACTAATGACTTGACCACTGAAAGATTTAGATTTAAATCTCAAAGTTACCTAAATAAAGGATAAAACTTCTTTATTTAGTGATAAACATATGATAATGTGTAATAGAGATTTCATTTAAATTGAATTTCAATCAAGGCTAGGCTGATCATTCAAGATCATAAAATTTCATCGATTCTAATTCTTAAAAAACCCAAGGAACTTATCTTAATTGATTTTGAACTCCATCATCTCGCTTTAAGTTTCGAATCAACTGACTCGTTTAATATATTCAGTGAGTCAAGCATAAATTTTACACTTTAACATGTTAAATATACCACAATTTGGAGGGACAATCAAATCTAAGAGCTTACTCATATCTAGAAAATTGCTAAATCTTAAATAGAACAAGAAGCATCTTCAAGCCCTAACATGACCTAGATCAATGTTCTAGTGTGTTTAATGATAATCCTCTTTGAAATGTTTTTAAAATCATTATGGAATATAGTTGAAAGAACATTTCCAAAGCACCAATACCATTTTTAAATTATCAAAAGCATGTGGAATGCTAAGTGATTTGATCTAGCTAAACCCTTTTATTGGGCTAATGGTCAAGAGCAATGCCATTTTTTTTTCCCAAATGAAGGGCCAAGATTTTAAGCATTAGAAAGGACGACAAACAGACCATATATCCAAATTCAATGTGAATCTACATCATGAATTAAATCAAAGGTCTAATAATCTTGATGATTTTTGGTTGATTAATAACTAACTTGTACATTTTAGAGCCAAATTATGTGAAATATCAAGCGACCAAAAGTAAAGGAGGATATGATCAATGTACACACAGGGATGAGAAAGCATGACTATATCACAACTTCTTTGAATAGCATGATATAAATTGGAGAGAGAAAGAGGGAGAGAATATATATATATATCTATGAATTGTAAATTATTGGTATGAAATGGTTCTCAAAATTAGAAAATATAAATAAGTGAGAGAGGGAGAGAGAGAAGATACCTTGTACTAGAGTACTCAAAGAGTTTGCCAGAAGCAGAAAACACACAGAGTGCGATCTCAGCATCACACAGAGTAGAGAGCTCCACGGCCTTCTTGAATAGACCTTTTCTTCTCTTTGAGAAAGCCACTTGCCTCGCTGGTGTGTCCTCGATCTTCTTTATCTCTATCTTCCTCCTCGTCATTTCAAACTAAACAAGCACAGATCCAAATCAAAATTACAGAAATTAAATTAAATCTGCAGCCAAGAAGAAATTAAAATGAGCTAGTAAGGAAATTCTCGGCGTTGGATATATGTTCAAAGAAAAATAATAAAGACGAAATACGCAGAGAGATCAGGTAGCTAGGGTTTGCTGAGAAGAAGAAAAAGACAGAAGAGTTCTTGTCAGAAATAATAACAACAATAATAAAAATGGAAGATTGTGAGGAAACCTGGAGCTAGACTAGTGGCTTGCTAGTTGCTATCCTCTGAAATTTTCTTGGGATCTCTTTTCTGTATCCTTATGTGTTTTCACTTTCTCTTTTATTGAGTAAATCCGCAGCAGATTTACGTCCACATCGCCCTTTTAAGATGGCCACTAAAGTCATCTTCCTGAATGAATGTGTATAAATACATTTATTTTTCAAGACCGCGTCAATTCTTGCTTCTATTTGGTGGTCGTTATTACCTGGGTCCAACATTCGCGTGTTTAATTCTTTTTTAATAATCATGGAAAGGACTTGAAAAAAAAAAAACTTTTTTCTTTTTAAAGAATTTTTAACCGGTAAATATTTAAAATTAGTATGAGAAATTATTATTTTAACAAACACTCTATGATTTATTTAGGGTTTTTGTAGGATATTAAATTCTTTCAAGGCCTTTCATTAATATTCTTCCTTTTAATTATTGCTACCAGTTAATTAACTCTTCTTATAAATATAAATTTTGTAAAAAAAAAATATGCATTCTTTAGAAGGAGATGAAATTTGTATAATGTACTCATCTAATCTTATTTATAAGCTATATCTAACATGTTTTATCAAAATTTTGAAAAAAAATTAAACTTATTAACTCTATATCCTAAAATTTAATAAGTTTTTAACTTAGTATCTATTAGATATACATATTTTAAAAATATAAGTTTTTTTAATAATAATATACTTTTTCTCACTCATATTTGATAGAAGTAAAAAGAAACATTTGTGATAAAAAAGACTAATAAATTGTTTCTCTTCCTGTCTTATAAAAAGAACCTGACATAATATATACTCTCTACTTCCTAATTTATATAATACTTTTAAATAAAATCACACAAACTGATAAATTTATTAAATATACTTTATAATTTTATTTTTTAAAAAAAATTTTAAAAATAATTTTTATTTAACAGTCTTTTTGTAAAAGAATATTAAAGAAAAAATATAATAAAAATAATAATACAAAAAATTTATTAACAAAATTTTATTCTTATAAAAATATTTTATATCTTGTGATGTGAAATATCATATAATTTGGGATGGAGTATAATATAAACTAGATTCTTACCCTGTGCATAAGGGAGAGACAATTAAATTTGGCAAAAATCGCACTTCCTTTGTCTTAAATTATATGACACTTTTGAAGGAGTTTCTCTATTTTAAAATATAAGATACTTTAAATATATTAAGGTTTTATTAAATGCATCAATTTCAATATTACCCTTTCTCTTTTTGTAATTAATTTTTGTCCCTTATCTTTTTAATATATTAAATGATGTGTATTTTTAAAAGTTTATAGAAAGATAAGGTTGTTAAGTGTATTTAATAAAGTTTATTGATATATAAAATTTTGTTTAAAAATATCTTATAATTTGAGATAAAGAAAGTACTTCAAATCTCAATTTTGAAAAACTGAATAATGTTTGTTCAAAATCTAACGGTAAGAATAAAATTATTTTAATTTTAATTATTTAAGATTTAAAATATGTGTGATGTGAAATATCAAATAATTTAGGATGAAGTATAATATAAATATATGTGTCACAAATTTTGATGTTGAATATATCAAAAGATATTGATGGCTACATTTCTTTCGTTTTGGGCATCCAGGACGGTTCGTCAGCCAGAGTAACGTACAATAGCTACGTTAGAGGCTGTGGTTTGGTACCTATTATAGGGGACCAGTTGAATTATTTAAGAATTTAAGGACCTTTTGATAATTCCGAAGAGAGAAAAATTAATTTATTTAGAGTTGAAAATGTTATTCATTTTTAATTTAAAAAAATTTCATTTTGACATTTTATCATATGGACGCAGTTAGGGGTAAGCAAAATCGAACCGAAATTAAAAATTAAACCGAATCGAATTGAATTTTGTCTATTTGATTCGGTCTATTTAATTTTTCGGTTTGATTTGATTTTTTTATTTTAAATATTTCAGCTGATCGGTTCGATTCGGTTAGTAAAATTTAAAATCGAATAGACCGAACCGACCAAATTACATATAATTTATTAATTTATAAATTATTTTATTTTTATTTTTATTTTTTATTTTAATAAAGAATAAAAAATAATAACATCACTTGAAACCTCATTTCAATCAGTCACTCTCATCATCAGTAGGTGTTGTGACTGGATTGTGGGGTCATTATTTGATCATCGGTGTTTATTTGTGGTTGTTTATTTGATTATCCATGCCTTTATAATATTTGAATTTTATGTTATATGAGTGTAATTAGAATGGACTCGTATTAAAAAAAATGAATAGAAAAAAGGCTCAATTTTGTAGTGTTGTTTGTTTTAATATTTAAAAAATGAGCCCAATTTTAATAGCCAAATATGAAACTGAAAAATCGAATTAACCGATCGAACCGAATTATTAAATTTCGGTTCGGTCCTTGTTCGGTTCAGTTGGCTTATTCAGTTCAATTCGGTTTTCATTTTCAGTGTTATTCGATCGATCGATTCTACATATTTTGAGACCGAACCAAACCGAACCGACCGATGCTCACCCCTAGGCGCGGTACCAAACAAAAAAGTCATCATGCAATCCTTTTCATGTCTTTATTTAATATTACTAGTTTAATTCAAGTATTATAATTAAAAAAAACTTATATATCCAACTTTATATACTTAATGTACTTATTTTTAATTAAATTAAAATATATTAATCTCTTATAAATTATTTATTCTATAATAATTTTTTGTTATTAATTTTATTAACATATTAAAACCTACTTGTCATGAAATTAGATATAAGTATATTAAGTATATAAGACTAAGTACATAAATATTATCCTTATAATTACTATTAATTATTAATTATTATTTATTGATACACATATCTTGATGATATTTTTTATTACATCATAAATGTTTAAACTCTAAATATTTGCATTCCACCCGTCTTTAATATAAGACACATCTAACTCTAACCATCATTAGACCAAAGAAATATGGTACAATCATTCATTTTATCTAAAAATAAAATAAATTTTTAATTTTACTCATATTTATATAAAATTTTTTTATATTTACATTATATTCTCTCACATAATTAATAATTTTAAATAGAAATACCCTATATATAAAGTGCCTTATAATAAAATTAGACCATTTAGTTTTTTAGAATGTTCCTTGTAATAAGAATTAAATAGATTATTATTTACCTATTTACTTTTCCTATACTTAATTAACATCATCTAACCATTTGCCTATATTTTGATTCTCATTTTTTATAAAAAAAAATCTATATTGAGACTTATATATTTATTATGCTTATTTTTAATTAAATTAAGATATAAGAATCATTTATAAATTATTTATTCTATAATAAATTATTGTTATTAATTTAATTAATATATTAAAATTCACTTATTATATATTAAGTATGTAATAAAGTTAAGTGCATGAATCTTATCCTTTTTTTATATTACATACAATCCACATAAATTACATGGGCCGGAATTTACTCATAATTTGACACTTATACATAAAATATAAATAAGTTATAATTTATAATTTATAAGAACACTTGCTATAAAGTTCTTTAATATGGTGTATTTATATTAATAATAAATTGATATTTTTGTAAAATATAAGTACAAGATATAAAATGTTTATTTACCTACGGTGTGGTGTTATTATTTTGGAAAAGCGTAGGTGCATGGCATAGGTGTACTTGTTATCTAAGCAACTTTAGCCAGCTCTCTTGTACATGTGGCCTTGCTGCTTCTTGAAGGCAAGACTGCTCCGATGATGACATTCACGTTCTATCGTTCAAACTTTGCCAATATTTTTTTATCGACTTAAATCTTTTAAAATTAATATTTATAAAGAAGGAAAACAGGCATATTGATCCTATAAAATAGAATAATTTTCTTAAAGTCTCAAAAGATGTTTTTGTTGTTAAAAAATTGTAGGACATGACACTTTTCCTTTTTATTTAAATTAAAAAAATTTGTAACTTTTTATTTATAATTTTTATTTTTATATTAACAATTTTTGTTTTTAAATTCACAATTATTCAATAAGCATTCGCAAGTCTTGATCTGCAAGTCCTGATATGTATTAGGTGTTAAAAATTTGTAACTTTTCATTCATAACTTTTGTTCCTATATTAACAACTTTTGTTTTAAAATTTGCAATAATTTAATAACCATTCGCAACTCCGCATCTGCAGATCCTATTATGCATCAAGTGTTGAAAATTTGTAACTTTTCATTTACAACTTTTGTTTCTATATTAATAACGTTTGTTTTTAAATTTGCAACAATTCAATAGCCATTTGCAACTTTGCATTTACAGGTCATAATATGTATCAGATGTTGAAAATTCACTAATTTTCATTCCCAACTTTTGTTTCTAAATTTGCAATAATTCAATAGCCATTTGCAATTTCACATTTAGAAGTCTTGATATGCATCAGGTGTTAAAAATTCATAACTTTTTATTCATAACTTTTGTTCCTATATTAACAACTTTTGTTTTAAATTTTCAACAATTCAATAGCCATTCGCAAGTTCACATCTGTAGGTCCTAATAAGTGTCAGGTGTTGAAAATTTATAACTTTCTATTAATAACTTTTGTTCCTATATTATATTAACAACTTTTGTCCCTAAATTCACAACAATGCAATAAAAAATTATAATTTATTAGTACCTTTTGTAAATTGACTAAATCAGCAAAAATGAATTACTACTCTAATCTAAGAAATAACAACTTTCATTAATTTAAATGATAATAAAACTTAAAAAGTGACAACTATCTAAGGTTTTCTTATCAATTGCATGATCTACAACTTACATCAAAATACCCTACAACCCTTTTGACAAAAATAAATGAAGGGTTGAATCTTTTATATATAAGATGTTTCAGCTTTGTCATATTCACATTGTAAAAAAAAAACAATAGCTATCTTTGCACACTATATAAGACATAAGCCAACTGAATTCACAAAATATAGACAAAAAATGTGTCATATTCACATCATATCCTAGCTTGAATTAGAATTCCTACAGGTCTTGCGTGTATGACATGGTTGATGGCATAGTGAACAGTAATAAATCTTATTATGCTTATATTCAAATGGAAACTTATGG